TATATATATATATATATATATATATATATATATATATATATATATATATTTGGGTTTTTTTCTTTTCCTTGCGGCAGCAGCATATTATGTTTTCTGTTTTTATTTTTTGTTTTTTTTGTCTATTTGTTTTATTTACTCTCAAGGAAGAAGTATATGAAGACACAGAAAGACTCATTCAGTCTGTAGTCGATGGATTCAACGTGTAAACCCTAAACCCTAAACCCTAAACCCTAAACCCTAAAGCATGTCACTGAATTTTTTTTTGTGTTTTTCTCGTTTGAACGAGCTGCATCTTTATACTCTCATAGACATGCCTATACCTGGTGTCTCTCCGCACGCTAAACTCTAAACAGTGCATGCATGCATGCATGCATGCACTGACATGTGTGCACGCATGCATGTATGCAAGCATGCATGCATGCATGCATGCATGCATGCATGCACTGAGATGTGTGCATGCATGCATGCATGCATGCATACAGCTACACAAACCTCAGAATGTTGTTTGCGTGTATTCTCACACTGGGCCCCATTCGTTCCTTTTATTGCTGTTGCTGCAGCAGGCATTGCATGCCTGCATCTGCTTCTGCGTGATGAATTTCTGCGCTTCTTCCGCTGCTGCTGCTGCTGCTGCTGCTGCTCTTGCTGCTGCTGCTGCTGCTGTTTCAGGTGTATCTTTGCGTACGGCCAGACGGGGTCTGGGAAAACGTTCACAATTCAGGGGAACGCAAATTTTCCTGGTATCGCCCCGCGCGCTATAAAGGGCCTCTTTGCTTTGCTTGATGGCCTGGACCCTAACAAATTCAAGTGGGAGACGCAGAGCTATATGTGTGAACTCTACAACAACCAGGTAATATATTCATGAATATATTCATGGATACTTGCAGCAAAAATTATAATCAATATGATCTCATACGGAAACAGTTGCATGCATGCAGGCGTCCATGCATGCATGGGGCGTGTATATGCATTTGTAATATTGGGTGCTTATATATATATATATATATATATATATATATATATATATATATATATATATATATGTATATATATATATATATATATATACTCAGCACGAAAGAGGAAACGGCAGTTCTGGTGTGTAGACAGCAGAACTCTTCAGTAGTTGAATTTCATGTTGACTGGGAGTGCATCTCTTTCTCTCTTCCGCTGCCTTCACAAGCACGCTGGCTGTGATCACGGAGAGTGAGCGGTGGCGTTCCTCTGTGCAAACGACGGCAGCATGCACAAGCAGCTGCATGCTTGTATTGGGGGAAAAACATTTGTTGCTCTGAACTTCTCTTGCCTTTGATATTCTCTCGGTTTCGAGAACTATTCAAAAGAATGCGGAACCTGTTAAGAAACGCTGAGTGGAGAAAAGAGGAGGGATGATGAAACTGCACTCACTTTCTGTTTCTCGTGTGTATATGCAGCTCGTAGATCTGTTGGCTCCTCCCGAAGCAAAGAAACATCCGCCTTCTTTAGATATTAAAAAGGATAGCGCAGGCATAGTGATGATCCAGGGAATAACGATGAAGAAAGTGGCGACGTCTGAAGCACTTGAAAAAATTTTTGAATACGGGTTGACTGCTCGCCATGTCAGTGGCACTGCAATGAATGCAGAAAGCTCGCGATCTCATCTTATTTTCGCAGTTCTCGTGAAAATTGAAGATTTAATCGCCGAAAAAGTCACCATGGGAAAGCTTTCGCTCATAGATCTTGCAGGTTCTGAACGTGTTTCCAAGAGTGGTACGGAACATGAATACAGCGGAAAGCTGCATTTATAGCCCGATCATCAGCCTCAACGGGTGCATAAAGAGTTAGCGGATATGAAACCAATGAAAATGAATCATGAAATCGAGGAAATATTACCGAATCGTGGTTTTGAATTTCGGGTGTATCTGCAGGTGTCACGAAGGAGAGGCTGGTGGAAGCGAAGGAAATCAACAAAAGTTTGACGGCTCTAGGTGACGTTATTTCGGCTCTTTCTAGCGGTAAGAAGAAGCAATTCAAATTCATGTTTATTGCATCGGCGTAACCATGATCCTTTTTCAGCTTTCTTTTCTGCTCCTTCGGCCACAGTTCTGAATGCAAAGGAATGCAGGCGATCTATGGAGAAACCAGTGGAAATCCTTGAAGATATATTGATCAAGGGAAATAATTTCAGCTGTTTCATATCTCCCAGCTTTCAGCTCGCTATTTCGAGCACTATATGCACACATATACCCACTATTCAACATGTACATAAAGTGCATAGGCTGCGGTGCGGCTTGGGCGGCGACACCCTGTTCATGTTTCTAGATGTTCTGTTTATTTGTTTCGCTTTTTTGAGCGGATGTTCTCTACTCAAACAGCAATCCCGAAGAGCAAGCTTGCATGCGGCGAGGTTTCCGCTGGTGATGCAAGTTCTGATATCTGCATGCATGCAGATGTCAAGATGCAAACATGAACTTCGCCTGCTGCTGCTGCATTTGTTTGGTTGTACAGGGGAGAGTTTCATTCCCTACAGAAACCACAAGCTTACGCAGGTGATGAGCGACTCCCTAGGTGGTACAGCGAAGACTCTTATGTTTGTGAACATCAGCCCAGCAGACTACAACGTGGACGAGACGGTAACTTCGTTGATGTATGCTTCTCGTGTGAAGCTTATTACGAACGAAGTAAGGCAATTGAACAGCAGAAAGAAAACCACTACTCAATTCAACAACAACTCCTGCAGATACACCTGAAATACTAACTTGTACTAAACCCTAAACCCTAAACCCTAAACTCCTCCTGCTGCTAATCTGTAGACTCCCTTCACGTAGTAAGCTGCACTGAGCTGCACTGTTGTATTTCTTTATAAATGAATACACTGTATTATCTTTCTTTCTACTACTACTACAGCCTTTTCTTTGTTTTTTTTTTTTTTTTTTTTTTTTTTTTTTNTTTTTTTTTTTTTTTTTTTTTTTTTTTTTTTTTTTTTGCCTCTCGGGCTTGGCTGAGTGTATGTGTACTTGTGTGTTTTTCTGTTTGCTTCGGTTTGTGTACAGTCTAGCAAACAAGTGGAGTCCAAGCAGCTCGCAAAACTGAAAGAAAGAGTGAAGAAACTGACGGCAGCGCTGGAGAAAGCTAAGCGCGGTGAAGCCGTTGACTATTCACTCTTGAACGAAACCGAAGACGTCTCACCAGAAGAAACCCAGCAGCAGCAGCAGCAGCAGCAGCAGCAGCTGCAGCAGCAGCAGCCAGGTAACACAGAGGAAGACGACGATGCAAACTACGAGGAGCCAGAGGACATCTCCTTCTAAACGCCTCCACCTGAATATAAGGGGGCGGTGGCTGCCGCCAATGAATTCCTTTTTCGCGCATTGCATACACAACAGGAGATCAACAAAGACAGAACACAATACTTGTTTTGTCTGTCACGAGTATATATATACATATATAC